ACACACACAAGCATGTGAGTTGGGGAGGGGCAGAGGGAGAGAATCTCAAGCAGATTTCCTACTGGGTGGAGAGCCCAACACTGATCTCGATCCCAGGACCCCAAGATCATGATGCCAGCCAAAACCAAGAGTCCGATCCTTAACCAACTGAGCCACCCAGGCATCGCTCATTGATCAAATTCTTAGAGGAAATTTCACTTAAGTCTTAGAGGCTACTAAGATTCAGTCCCACATTAGGGAAGTAACAAGCAATGATTAATTGCTAATGGTTAACCATTAGCAATTAATCTGAATCTGTTAATGGTTCAGGTGACATTCTGCCTATTATTTTTTTAAACAGTCTGTTCTTGAGGTCTGTATAGTTAAATTACTGGCTGTTTTGGACTTTCAGTTTCCCTTTTGGTCCCACATATCCAAGATTACCTTGAGAAGAGTTTGGAAAGATCACAAAGTTATTTATTACCCTTCTATCTCCCCTCACTTCAGAGTGAAACAGCATGAAACAGGTCTAACCCCTCAGTGTACCACTGTGACCACATCACCCTTCTTTGTATCCTCAAATTTCCTACTTGAAAGACCTTTATTCCCTTCTCTCTCTAACATTCTTACTCATCCAGCAATAACTTTATCTCCTTTTTCCCCCTTCCTTTGAAATTGACTCAGTTCCTCTTCTTCCCTCAAAGCCAGACTGAATCTGCATTTCATGTTATTCATTAGGAAACCTGATGAGGTTGGTCAGTATTGTTAGAGCTGGCACGTGAGAGGCAGAGCACACTATGCCATGCCTGAGACTGCTTTAATAAGTATGATGTGATCTAGGAGGATGATTTAATGTTCTAATTATACTTGCAGAAATTGAGGATCAAAGCTTCACAGAATCTAGTAAGAGATGAGGTCAGAATTGCAATCCAAGTCCCTCTGATTAGAAAGCTCATGGTTTTCATTATACCATGTCCTCACTAGTGCCTGTTTGTGATGGTTGGAATGGAGAAGACATCATAGAAATGGCAGAACCCAAGTTCCTCCTTTGTTCACTCCCCTTGACTTCATTACAGTTCTCCTAACTCCTACTCCTCCATTCCTCCCTGCCCCCGCAAACCCCACACACATTCTTTTTTTTTTTAAAGATTTATTTATTTATTTGATAGAAATCACAAGTAGGCAGAGAGGCAGAGAGAGGCGGGGGGCGGGGGGAAGCAGGCTCCCTACCGAGCAGAGAGCCTGATGCGGGCCTCCATCCCAGGACCCGAAGATCATGACCTGAGCCGAAGGCAGAGGCTTTAACCCACTGAGCCACCCAGGCGCCCCCCCACACACATTCTTTAATTAAGGGTTGACCAGTATAGTTAGGGTCAACTTCCCTGGGCTTATGGTAGTAGCACTAACACCGAATCATGGGTATGTCTAACCAGGCAGCCATGCTATTCATTACAGTGTGTAATCAAGCCACTTTCAATCAAGACTATACAGTTAGATCACTGACATTGAACTCACTGGCATGTGTTGGTTTGTGACTAGAAACAATGGCTTTGAGAGTGGAGGGAAGAACAGGGATTTTTCACACATCCCCCACAATTCCTTCCTCTAGATTCTGCAAAGAATAATTGATCATGTATTAGGTTACTTTATATGTGGAGTGGCTCTAGAAATGAACTCATGTTATCAGGTGTGAGGAAGATTAATCCTAATGTTTTCACTTGAGAATTAGTCGGTTAAGGATAAGCCAAAATCATGCTGGACATGAACAGATGTTTTGAACTGGTGAATGAAGTGGTATGTTACACTTACTGGCATTGAATGACTATTGAAAGCATGTACTTTCTGTACATCTTCAAGGGAGGGTTAATAGGCTAGACACTCCTTTAGATCTGATTCTTACTTTTTGAACATTACTCTTTGCACTCTTTGGTTTTGCTCCTAGGTAACAGAAATTAGGGACACCTGCTAAGTCCCGGCGTGGATGTTAGAAACCAATGAGATAAATACCTTTTCCATGGACTGTGAATCCACAAGACACTATCCTACTACAGAAGACTCCCAAGCTAACATTTACCAAGCACTTACTCTATGCTCAGTACTTTTTTTTTGAAGATTTTATTTATTCATTTGAGAGAGAGAGAGAGTGATAGCAAGAGAGAGAACAAGCACAAGCAGGGGGAGTGGAAGAGGGGGAAGCAGGCTTCCCACTGAGCAGGGAGCCCGATGTGGGGCTCAATCCCAAGACTCTGAGATCATGACCTGAGAGGAAGGTAGATGCTTACCTGACTGAGCCACCCAGGCATGCCTATGCTCAGTACTTTTTAAAGAACTTTACAGGTATTAACTCATTTTATTCCCATAATAAAGCAATGAGGAGGGCACTTGGGTGGCTCAGTGGGTTAAAGCCTCTGCCTTTGGCTCAGGTCATGATCCCAGAGTCCTAGGATCCAGGCCCGCATCGGGCTCTCTGCTCAGGGGGAGCCTGCTTCTTCCTCTCTCTCTCTGCCTGCCTCTCAGCCTACTTGTGATCTCTCTATCTGTCAAATAAATAAATAAAATCTTAAAAAAAAAAAGAAAGCAATGAGGAGGGTACTATTACTAGATAGAAGTCTTGAGAGACCAAGTTGCCTAAAGTCACACAGCTACAAAGCAGTAGATACAGGATCTGAACCAGCAATCTCCCTCTAAAGTCTGTTCTGTTAGCCACCATGACAGGTATGCCACTGAGATAAAGAAGTCTGCTGGAGGAACAGCTGAGACCCCTGAAAGGTAAGAGTTCTTTGTCTTCCTAGGGAATGTCGTAATCCACATATGATACTTGGAATTGCTGCAGCTATCCTGTGATCATAACAGGAGTTACAGCTCTAGTTCGGTGGAGTAGAAAGATGGAAGATTCTCAAGTTTGGTTTTTTTTTTTTTTTTTAAGATTTTATTTATTTGACAGAGATCACAGGTAGGCAGAGAGGCAGGCAGAGAGAGGGAGAAACAGGCTCCCTGCTGAGCAGAGAGCATGATGCGGGGCTCGATCCCAGGACCCTGGGATCATGACCTGAGCCGAAGGCAGAGGCTTTAACCCACTGAGCCACCCAGGCGCCCCGATTCTCAAGTTTTTAAGGACATCCTTGAGTAACTGAATTATCTAATCTTGGAACTGCTTTACCTTTAGAACTCTTTTCATGTGATATTATGAACTCAAAACTGTTGAATTTCCTTCCATTTGGTTTTGTTACTTGTATGGAAAAGCACTCTCATTGATACCCATGTACATAAGCATAATCCAACCAGAGACGTACAACTCTTCGAGAGAGTCCACCACGTGCAAGATTTTCATTCAGTTAGCAAGTACTGAATGTCTTCCATACACCAGGTACAGTACAAAATGTTGAATCAAACAAGTTGGGAAGGGCAGGTTCCTACACCTATAGAGAATAATAATCTGGTGGTAAATATGGTACTGAATGTGGAGGCAGACATGTATAAGGAAGGTATTGAGAGAACTAATCTAGACCAAGAGGTCAGAAGACCAAGGTAGAACCAGGTGAAGGCATGTGTACCAGATTCAAAGAATCCATGCCATATCGGTATCATCCATTTGTAAGTTTGTTATATATTTAATTTGCTACATATTTTAGTTTTAGTTGTATAAGACACAGAGTTATGTGTATAATAGTGTTGGGTGTATATATATTTAGGTGAATTTATAATACAATAATTATTTATTTTTAAAAACAAATTTTTGATTTTTTAAAATTTATTTTCTAGTAATCTCTACACCCAACATGGGGCTTGAACTCATGTTTCTGAGATCAAGAGTCACATGCTCCTATGACTGAGCCAGTCAGCTGCCCTTATAATACAATAATTTAAATCAGCATGGAGACCCAGAATATTTTTCCCTTTTAAATGTAAATAGTGAAACCAATTTAGGAGAAGCAGACTAATATAAGGGATAAGCAAAGAAATGGGAATGGAGGCATTTGGTGTCTATTTGTAGCTCACTGGCTGGGAGCCTTCTTGTAACATGAATCTCATACTTCGTAAAATATGATTCATATGTGGTTGCAATGGAATACTTTAGAGTTTTTAAATTAATGAAGAATAAAATTTTAAAATCCCTATACTGCTGTGAAAGTTCCAGAAATCTTTCATAAGTTTAGCAAAGAAAATGGGCAAAAGGAAGGGGTGGTACAGGACATGACACACAAGAAAAGAAGGCAGAGAAGGGAAAAATCAAGAGGCAGTAAAGTGCTTGGTAAACTCTACACAGCAGGAAACAGCACTGTGCATATTACAGCTGTTACTGAGTAAATACTTGTTGGAATTTCCAGAGGTGACCAAACAAACATGAAGAAGGAAGTGGTGTTTTTTTCTTGCTTTATTATGGAAAATTTCTAACATGTACAAAAGTACTGAAAATAGTCATTAGAACTACCGCATCTTCGACAGTCATTAATCATGGCCAATCTTGTTTCATTTCCATTATTCTGAAGCAAATTCCAGATACATTATTTCGCCCCTAAATATGTCAGCACACATCTCTAAAGCAAAAGAATGGGAAACAAGGCATTTAGTGTCTACCTCACTCGGTGACACTCTTCTACATCTTCATATAACTTCATATAACTTGTAATACATGATTTACAAGAGGTTACAACGGAATTTTTTTTTTTAAGTAACCACGATTAAAAAAAAAGGTAGGTGGTTAAATCCCCAAAAGGCTCTCCAGGGGGGGAAGCTCACCTCATAAATCCAGATCGGCGTTACATTCCCTAAAAGCCCAAGGAACAGCTCACTGTCTCTTCCTTTCAAGGTTGAGACCCCAGCTACAGCCTGTGCGACCCAGCCTTTTACGGACCTCGCTGGCCTTCGCCCCGCCCCAGCTGAGGAAGTCTCCGCCCATTGGGCCCCAGCAGCCCCCGCGAGCCTCCGCGCGCCCCCGCCGCCCCATCCTAGGGAGCGGCGCGCCGCCCCGGACTCCCTAGGCCTGGGGTCGGGAGCGCGCACGCCGTGCGTCCCAAAGCTCGCTCGGGATTCCTCGCCTGGTGGCGCAGGGAAAGGCCAACGGTTTGGTCCGCCATGTTCTTCTCCGCGGCGCTCCGGGCCAAGGCGGCTGGTCTCACGGCCCAGTGGGTAAGGAGGTTCGGAATGAGCCCCGGCACTGCCGCCGCCCTTTCATCTTTCTCGATGTCTCTTTTTGTGGTGGGCAACGAGAGCGCTGGGCCCTGGACGGCCTGCAGGCGGTGGCAAGGACACTGCGGCCTTCGCCCTTTCCCAGGGAGGCCGCCACAGCTTCACTGCGAGCGAGGAGATCCGAGGGAGGGTCGCAGACGTAGCTGCGGCGGGTGCGTGGCCTCCCCCACAGGTTTGGGAAGTTAACGCCTAATGTGGTCAAGGAGAGGAAGAAGGAGGGGCCGCCCGGTGGTCAGTTTGTTGCCGTTTCGCCCTAGCGCAGAACATAGGCCTGGCCTGCGTTGGCCAGATAGGTTTCTAAACACCGCCCCCCCCGCCCCCCCCGCGCCCACCGAGGAGGCACCTTGCGGATCAAGCCTGATGACCTTGTTGCAGTCAGGTTGCAGCGCACTGGAGAGGACCCTAAAATTGTTGGCTCCGGCTTGCGTGATTGAAAGCTTGGAGAGCATTTCCTTAGGCGAAAGGGGTTTGATTTAGTGAAGATCGTATTCTGCGTATCGGAAAAGTTCGATAAATAATCGTATCATATTAACTCTGAACACCCCCACAAATACTGCATCCAGAAGGATTTTAAGAGCTTGAATGGGCTTCTGAGGTCCAAGTACATGTCCTTATTTTAGGTAAGGAGATTGAATCTCAGGTCGAAACACTCATTCAAGTTAACTTAGAAATGGTCACTCTATTAACGACGATTATAACAGCATTTACTGGAAAGAAGCCCCCCTTTCCCCCCAGCAGTAAAATAGAAAGGTTGAGTCAGTTCTTAGAAGACAAGGAGAGAATGCATAGTAGTATATATAGTTCAGGGCTTTATAGAGTTAGACCTGAATTTGGCTGGTGGTTTCGCTGCCTTTTCTTGATTTGTGACGTTGGGCTGTGATATCTCTCACTTAGTTTTCTTGGTCGTAAAATGAGAGGAATATTCCAATTTGCGGAGTTTAGTCTTTCAATAAACATTTGAGGTCCTAATGCGTGGCTGGGTTACCTAATAACGATAGGTAACATTTGGTGAATACATTCCGTGGCCAAGCACAGTGTTAAATGTTTACATTCTAAATCTCATTTATGAGGTTGGTGCTGTTATTTCTCCATATTACAGATAAACAGATTTAGACAATCCCTGTTCTTATGGAGTTGATAGTCTCATGTAAAAGAAACTTTGAGGTAAATATACAGTGTAAGAGTACAGTGTTAAAGAGTTACGTATAAGGTCAGTTTGGTTTGAAAGTGTGCAAGATTTTTCCTGGAGGCTATACTAATTGGTGATAAGGTTACATATATGGGAGAGAATATAATAGGTGGAAAGGACAACAGAAGAAAAGGCTATTGATAGTTGGCAGGGAAAAGCTTGGTGCATATAAGAAGCCTCAAGCAGTGTTGGTGGACTCCACTGTTGGTAGTAAGATAAATCCAGAGATGAATTAAGAGAGGTGGGCAGGGCCCAGATGTTGGAGCTCCTTGCCTGCCTTGCGGAAGAATTTGGCATTATCTTAGAGGCAGTGCTGAGCCAGTGAAGGATTTTTAAAGGAGCAGAGGGACAGGGTCAGGTTTCTCCATATTGATTAGATGGCTGGGTGGGAGTGTGGGAGTGAGGGAATAACATTTCATCAGAGCCAGAGGCTGGGAGACTAAATAGATGAGACTCTTGGAAACTCAGGTGAGAGGTGATGAGAATAAGACCTTATCTACTAGTAGAAAGGATAAAAATCAGAGTACAGATAGATTTTAACTTCTTCAGTTTTTGAGGCAGAGGGTTATTAGAGGTATATATCGAAAAGCAGTTTAAACAATAGAAAAGAATATTTTCAGGTAGTGGAAGAAAATTTCAGTCAAGTCTTTATGTTAGTTTCTGCAGCTGTTTTTTTTTCTTTGTACAAATATTACCTGATATGTAGTATGTACCCAGTAAATATGCAGAACTGATGAATAAGTAAGTTTTTGTTGTTCATTTTTTTTCTTATTGAACAACAAGGCAGATCTCTGAAGTTTAAGGTGTACAGCATGATGGTTTGATTTAGAAGTTTAATTTTATTACACAAGTAATGCATTATAGGAAAAACACAATATTAGGAATAGCAAACAGAATAAGCTGAAAAGAAAAAATTACCAAAATGTTAACATTTTTGTGTTTCCAATTAACAGGCCTTACAGATCTTTTTTTTTTTTTTTTTTTTTTTTAAAATTGGACGGTATTGTTCACATTGTTTTGTAGCCTCTTTCTCACAAAACTTTTTTTAAAAGAATTTTATTTATTTATTTGACACAGAGAGAGATCACAAGTAAGCACAGTGGCAGGCAGAGGGAGAGAGAGAAACAGGCTCCCTGCTGAACAGGGAGCCCAATACGGGCTCTGGAATCATGACCTGAGCGGAAGGCCCACGTTTAACTGACTGAGCCACCCAGGCGCCCCTCACAAAACATTTTTGGTCTGCTTTCCTCAACAGTTAGCATTTCTGTAATGTCATTTTTAATGCTATGTGGCATGCCATTGTGAGGATGTTCTATAACTTATATAACCAGCCCTTCTCCCCTTTTTCAAATAGAATATCAGAATGACCTAGCAAAAATCAGGAAAAGTGTAAGAGGTCCCACTAATAAAGTTCCTTTCCTTATAGAGAAAACCATTAAGGAAACAATTTGCATTTTCAGAGAAATCGCTTATTTTGTTATAATTTCTGTTGTATTAACTAACTACCAAGTTCTTTAGCTACAGACTTCAGTTTATCATTGCTTTAAAAATAACCATAACGTAGTACTGTTTAAAAGTGCCTACAAGACAACAGTTGCATGACCTGGAACCATATTTCTTAATCTCTTGGAGTCTCATTTTTCTTTTCTGTAAAGTACAGTAATACCTTATTTAGTGATTATCAAGAATTGCCTAAAAAGTGAATTATGGAGCATTTAGATACTCAGAATAGGCTTTTTCTCTTGCTCAGTAATTTTCCATGGCTTTCTGTAATATTGACCTCACTTTGCAGCTCATCACTGCCTCATTCCCAAGCCACTGCTTAGTTCAATAGGAGTGAAGGAGTTGTGGCATTTTCAAACATTGTATTTTCAGCTTCAGAATTTGGGTTCTTCTTTGTAGTTGCTGTTTCATTTTTTTGTTCTTTGGAGATACTTTTTTTTTGATGTCCTTAAGCATGGGTTTAGCAGTTTTGAAATTGTTCTTTAGTAATCTCCATTGATTGTCTTTTTTCCTTGAAAATGGGCTGTTTTGTTGTTGTTTTATGTTGAGTAATTTTGGATTGTATCCTGGACATTGTGAACGGTATGTCATAGAAACTCTAGATTTTGTTAATTCCTCTGTTAGTGTTTTTTTGTTGTTGTGGTGGGCTCTTGACTCAATTGAACTCAAACTATAACCCAGCTCCCTTCTGAACAGAATCTCAAATATTGGTTCACTTCTTTTAGCTGGGCTGCTTGGAGTTGGCCACATGTGTGTGCATGGTTTGGGGTCAGCCACAGAATTTGGGGCTACTCTGGCTCTTCCTATTTTTGGATTTCCCACTTTCCCATGCTTGTGGTTGTCCCAAACTGTCCTGTGGTTTTTCAAGCCATTAAGGCTACAGGTTTTCTCTTGAGGTTTTAGCTGCAAAGTGCAGGACTCACAGGGGTCTGCCTTCAGGCTAAGAGATGTAAAGTATAAAACAAAAAAAAACCTTCATTGGCTTTATCTAAGTATAGACTCCCCTTCTGTGTCTGTCAGCATTTGGTTGTCCTCCAGTGCCTTCAGAAAGTGTTTTGGGTTTTTGATTTTCTAAAAAAAATAGTTTGTCCAGAGTTTATAGTTGTTAGCGGTTTGGCCTGGTAATATCTACTCCCCTACTCTACAAGTGGAACTTCCTGTGGTGGCATTTTTCTTTCTAAATGTTAAGTTTTGTAGAATGAAGTGTTTTTTCATTCCGTTAGAGGTTCTTAAACCTGATTTTGCAGTGTCCCAGTGTATCTCCATTTTGGCTCAAGGACTCTAAAGGAGTTTTGTTTTTTGCTTTTTTTTTAAAGCATTTATTTTAGTTTTCTGTTGTTACTCTTACAAATTACCACAAACTTGGTGACATAACAGGTATTTGTCTTATGATTCTGTAGGTTAAAAGTTTGACATGGGTCCCACTGGGCTAAAATCAAGGTGTTGGCAGAGCTACTGGAATACTGTAGGGGACAATCTGTTTTCTCGGCTTTTCCAGCTTCTAGAAAAAAGCTGCCCTTATTTGTTGGCTCAGGGCTCCTTTCTTCCATCTTCAAAGCCAGCAAGGGCAGGTTAAGCTCTCACTGCACTGACTTTGCTTTCTTCATTTGTGACCTATCCTTTCTTTTGCTCCCTCTTCCGGATTTAAAAGGCACTCTGATTGCCTTGAACCCACCCTGATAATACAGAATAGAAATCTCCCTATTTTAAGGTCAGCTGATTAGCAATCTTAATTCCATCTGCAACCTTAGTTCTCTTTTGCTATGCATATTAATATGTTTACAGTTCCCCAGGATTAGGAAGTGGTATTTTTGAGCAGCATTACTCCACCTGCCATGGCCTTAAATACTTAAGGGGAAAGAGAAAATGAGCAAATTTTTAATTTATTTGGTGAGGTTCAGCAGGCCACTGCTACACATAAATCAGATCTTTATATTGGACATATGAACTTAGTCTCCATTTCAAACATAAAAAGCTGAATTTCCCTTCTCTTTGGATATTGTTTAATATCAGCCCAGTACTTTGGGTGATAAATTATAGGTTCATTGACCGTGTCAATATGGTTTTCCATTGAGAAACCTTGACCTACTCACCTTTGAGTCAGGTCAGGAAGCATAGCTAGCTGTAGGGATTTTTTTTTTTTTTTTTTAATTCAACAAGCACTAAAGACTTAACATGTTTAAACACTTTTACTTTGCCTTGTTGTTAGAGAGGGAAAGTGCCTTATATGTAGGATACTTTCCTGGAT